TAAAATATGAATTTTGATGTCCCAATAAATTTATAAAAAGCAAGCTAGAACTCTTACCAATCAAGATATTACATTTGTAAAGTTATTATTTATTGGATGTAAATTTATGGCACGAAAATTGTTTTTGCAGTTCGTATGTCACCTAGTATACTTCATAAATTATAAAACATTTTAAATAGAGAAAAAACCTTATAATTTAGCACCTTAAATTGAATTTTCCCTCTGCATCTTAGACAAAGGGCTTTGCCACTGAATTCCGCCCTGGCCCTAGAAGTGAAGCGTGGCTCGCAGTCTCTCACCTCCATCCAGCATTTCCACACATGCACAGTGGTGCCTTTATTCATGAAAGCTTTTATTTGTGCACAATTTGGTTTGCAAACAGAAACGTGTGGCAAAATTTTGTTTTTGTTTGCAAACTCTGCCTGGGGTGATGAACCCAGCCATGGCCATCTTGCTTGTACAAATAGGAATGTGCCATCTTCTCTAGAGCTGTGGAATAAGCTGGATGTGGTGGCACATGTCTGTAATCCCAGCTCTCAGGAGGCTGAGGCAGGAGAATCCCTCTGCATTCAAGGCCATCCTGGGCTAACTAGTGAATTCAAGCCAGCCTCAACTATATAGTGAGACCCTATTTCAAAAAATAGAAAGATGAGCCAGTGAGATAGCTCAGTAGTCTAAAGTGGCTGCTTAGGCAAGTGCAGGGACCCCAGTCTGATCCCCCACACCACATGCTGTGCCAGCCCTACCTCCAGGGCCAGCTGAGCTGACCACAAAAAAAAAACAAAGAAAAAAGAAAAACCAGAGGGCCAGCCAAATAGCTCAGCAGATTAAAGCACCTGCAAGCAGGCACAGGGGCTGGGGGTTTGATCCTCAGGCCTGTGTGCTGGCCCTGCCCCCAGGGCACACTGAGACAGCAATTGAGACTGGGTGTGGTGGCGCACGCCTGTGATCCCAGCTCTTGGGAGGGTGTAAACAGGCAGATCACTACAGGTCCAATCTAGTAGTGAGACCCTGAACAACCTGTAGACCCTTCCCTAAAATACAAAAAGAAAAAAAAAAAAGAAAGAAAGAAAAGAAAGAAAGATAGACCAGAAAGAAAAGCATCTTGGAACGAATTAATCTCCTGAGCTGAGGCACCACTGTACATCTGGCAGAAGAGTTTGAAGCTCTAGAAACGTCCTCTAATAGTCAGATAATCTTCAGTATAGGAAAGGAGAAACAAGGGAGGAAAAGGAATGAAGGGAAGGGAATAAAAGAAGTGTAACAGAGGCAGCATCAGTTGAGTTGCTCATCCTTTATTTCTAGGGGCACCTGTCTCTCCCTCGAAGTGGGTGCAGACGCACTGGAGTGGCGATCGGGCGACCCTGACGTTTTCTCATCTCAACAAAGAAGATGAAGGCCTCTACACGATCCACGTACGGATGGGCGAGTATTACGAACAGTACAGCGCTTATGTCTTTGTCCGAGGTAAGACCCAGGCGCAGAACACCCAGCCATATTCAAAACACCAAGGCCAAATTAAGCTTCCTGTACGTGTTTTGTGATTGAAGAACCGTTTGAACTCACAGCCTGTTTCCCAGGAGTAGGTAGTGTTCATTCCCAGGAAAAGCAGACCTAATGTAAGAGGTGAGGCTGGGAGACGCCAAGACAACAGAGAGTTTGTTACTGCCTGTGTCTGTCAGAGGGCATCTCTACTGAGAGTGGCCCTACGGTGTCCGGGTCCCCTTAGGTCCCTGTGCCCTGTGGTACAATCCTATTCCCACCCGTGCCTCTGCAAGGAAAGAGAGCGGGAGAGCCATCCTGTCCCTTCTGCTTAGGGAGCCCAACACACACAACGCTCCCAGGGTATCAGTCGCTAGGTGGCCAACGTGTTCCCTGTCCCAAGAGGACCCCCAGCAGTCGGTGCCACACTCTTGTTGAATACCTGGTAGCCAGAGTCTGCTACAGACCAGGAGCTGCGAAGACACATGGATACACACAACATGGGAAAGCTGTGGTGGACCGTCTCCTCCACAGAAGCAGCCTGGCCAGTCAGATACTGCTGGGGGGAGGCAGAGGGAGGCCGGCCTTTAGTGCAAAGTGCAGTGATTTTTCTGGGACCCTGTGGTTTTTCTGGGACTCTGCCATGTTCTGGGGCTCCTCAGCATTTCTCAGTGCCATGCCCAGAACTGTGCCTCTCAGACTTTACAGGGCTAGTAGCTGATGAGGGGAAAGTGTCAACGCTTGAGATTTGTACTTAAACCAGTTCTCAAATCCATGGGTTAGGGAAATGGAAGGTTTCTAAAATGTACCAGTTATTTCTCAGTGCAGTGGCCCATGCTTGTAATCCTGCAACTCTAGGAGGCAGAGACAAGAGAATTATAAGTTTGATCCCTTCTTGGGTAACTTAGTGACTTAGTGAGACGCCATCTCAAAATAAATAATTAGAAGGACTGGGGAGACAGCTCAGTGTGGAGGTCCTGTGCTCAGTCCAGATCTCTCTCTCTCTCTCTCTCTCTCTCTCTCTCTCTCTCTGTCTCTCTCTCTCTCTGTCTCTGTCTGTCTGTCTGTCTGTCTGTCTCTCCCTGTCCCTCTCTCTGTTTCTCCATATCTTTGTCTCTGTCTTTTTCTTTTTTGGGGGGCCAGGGAGATGGCTCAGTAGAAAAAGCACTTGCCTGGCAAATGCAAGGGCCTGAATTCTACCCCTGGTTCTGCCATTAAAAAAAGATAAACTCTTTTTCTTTTTGTCTCTCTCTCTCTGTGTTTCTGTCTGTCTCTGTCTCTCTCTCTCTCTCTGTCTGTCTCTCCATGTCTCTTTTTGTCTCTCTCTGTGTCTTTGTCTGTCTATCTGTCTGTCTGTCTGTCTGTCTGTCTGTCTGTCTCTCTCTCCTCCATCTCAGCTGTTGTGTCAGTCAGCCTTCCTGCTGTTGAAACAGGATACCCAACACTCACAGTGCAGTGGAGAACTTTGTTGGGCTCACAGTTTCAGAAGCCTTAGTCCATGGGCAGCCGGCTCCAAGGGAGAAACACCCCATAGAAGGGTGTGGAGTAACAGAGCTGCTTAGTTCATGGCAGTCAGGAAGCAGAGCAGGGAGGAGCATTGGAGAGGAAGAGGCAGGGACCATGTAGACTCCAAGGTCAGTCCCCCATGACCTTCCCAGACACAGACACAGGGTGCTCTCTGACCAATCCAGGTGACGTTCCACTGTTACGGATGTTGATGTGAGAAAATGGAATGAATTGGAAAGATAAATTCAGCAATTTCATTGTGAGGTTCACACTTTAGAAGATTCACTTAAAATTTTATTATGACATATTTGAGGTTGTTTTAAAGCATCTTTATTGAAGATAAATTCCTTACGTTTCATCCACAGTAAGTGTATACTTGAGTACTTTTCAGTGTCGCTGCAGAGCTGTGCAAACAGGACTCACACTCCATCTCTCGAGTTGTGAGTGGGGAGAGGAGGCCTGTGTTGAACACACGCTGTCCCTGAGCTCCGCCCCAGCCCCACCTGTTGCAGCGTGCCCATCTCCCAAATCTCATGCCGTTTCCCGCTCATCCATGCCCAGCCAGCCCCTGGGAACCGCTGACTCGCTAGCTCCATAGAGCTGCCTTCCTGGGCATTTGGGAGTACGTGTGGTCTCCTGTATCTGCCTTTTTTCCTACTGAGCATATTTTGAGGCTCACTTGTGTTTTACTGAAAAATAATTTTCCAGGCTGGGGGTCGGCCTGCTTTTGTCCATACCTTCACTGGCTCACGGATAGCTGGATGGTTTTCACTCTTTGACTAGAATGACTGACGCTTCTGTGAATGTTTCTGTCTGTATTTGTAGGCCTGGGCTTCTGTTTCTCATGGGTCCATGCCTACCAGTGGACCCATGTAGGGGTCCACACAGGATAAATTTATGCT